AGGAACGTAGTGCTGTTGAGTTGACATTGAAGGGGCAGCAACAGCTGGTCTCCACAAATTACTATAAGGATTGTAGTGGTCACTTGAAAAGTTATAACTACTAACGTCAATACCCATATGTTGTTGTGATGGGGCTACAGGTGCTTGGTAGCCAGCTACTACTGATCCTGCAGTGTGATGACTTAAAGAAACCTGATTAACTGCTGTTGATGCAGGAACGAACGGTGCTACACCAGAAGGAACTTCTGCAGATGTTGTCGTAGCAAAAAAAATTTTCAGAAGTTACCGGGACTACTGACCCTGTGTTTGGATTGCCTAGCACCGGATGAGTGGACAGAAAAGCTTGCTGAGGCAAATTATTAGAAACAGGTTGAATGACCTGCTGTAACCCTGCTGGATTGTTAACGGAAACCTGCGATTGGACCAAACTCGACAAATTATGTTGTTGTCCGTGAATGTGGTTACTGTAATACAATCCCGGATCACTAGAAGCTGCCTGGCCATTATTCACTCCTGTAAAACTTGATGAGACCAAGTAATTTGTTGATGCAAGATAAAGTGCCTCAGGAGCTGTTGAACAAACGTGCTGCTCTTGATTGGGAACTACAACAGCATCAGGCTGATTGTGGTCGACAGACTCGACCCAGTGACGATCCTTTTCGTCTATTGTTAGTTGTGGAGAGATTCGAGTTAAACCACTTTCCTCAGCATTCTCGCTGATTTCCGACAACTCATCTTCTAACTCAAGCCCTTTCAACTCAATTTCTGCCAGTTTTTTCCTGTGTTCTTCAGCCAATTGTTCCAACTCTAAACGGCTTTGTTGTTCTTTCACTCTTAATGATACCTTTGCCTGCCTCTCAAGTTCCTCTTGTTGTCTCTTTAAAATCATTAAATCGCGCTTTTTCTCAGAGAGTTTTTTCGACGGAGCGGCGCTATAATTAGATTTCTGAGAACCCGATTGCTGATGTCGGCTGCTTCGATGCGACTACTTAGAGCGGGTATCTGTTTTATGCGACCGGGTTTTTTCACTTTTTTCAGAATGATGAGAAACTTTTGAGCTGCTATCAATTTTGTCCGGCTCTGTTTCTACCTCAAAACTTGTTTTATATGTGATAGCTTCCTGCAGAACTTTATCGTTGCTTTGAGTCAACTTATGAAGCCACATATCCTGTGCCGGTATCAATTCGTCGGGATTGGCACTTTTTGCAGCCATATCAATCAACTCAGTATTTATCTCGACCGCTTGTTCTATATAGTTCCTACATTTTTCAATATAAGTATCAATTTTTGAGCAACGACTCTGACTCTCTATGTATTCTAAAATTATTTCGTGGCATTTATAAAGTTCGTTTTCGAGGTTGCTACGTTTCTCAAACAACTTCTTAATTTTCTTCTGAAATTTAACTTCCATGCTTAATAATTTCAGAAATACACGACTCTCAGTAAATACTTTATTTTCACCCAAGTAAATCCACAAAATACTTTTACCTGGCGTTAAAGTTAAAGCTTAAGCCGGGCTTTGTGAAACAAGTCTCTTTCACGCGCTTTTGAGACGGCGCGGATAGTATACGGAGCGCGTGGTCTAGAGAACTAGCTCCTAGAATGAATACCATATACTTAAGAGACCTATGCGACGGCTACGTTACGCTTAAGTACCAACGGGGGGGAATTAAGTAGGTCGGTTGAACTCCAACAACGCACACGGAGTTAACCTGAGGATGAAAGAATTCAACTTAACTCACTTTATATGACCATACCTGACCACTTAACATTAGTGTCGCGCAACGAAGTCAATTATCGGACGGGCTGAAACGGCTTATATTTACTTGAAGCGAACTGGCTTTCAGTTTCACCAATGTGGGTGGGGGATCAGGCAAATTGGTTAATTTCCAACAACACACGCGGAAAAAAACTGAGGATGAAAAAACTCAACTTAATTTGCCTAATATTTCGCTACCAGACCACTTACCATAAGGTTGGTGTCAAGTTACAGCACAGTTTCGCAGAATTATGGGGACGTTTTGAGGAATTTTCGAAAATATTTTTCTTTTTTCCCAAAATTTTTTCGGAAAATTTTGGTCAGCAGGTTCGAGTCATAAACCAATCCAAAAAACTAGTCTAGTACCTCTGGTCTATGATCCGATTTCACGGATTTCCAATCTGTTCAAAATTACCCAAAAATTTGTGGTATCGGGAAAATTACCACTCGCAGCTTGCTTTGAGTTGGGATACACAATAAGACACCGTATGTAATTTTATTGCACAAAAAAGTTTATAAAAATTAGATGAGTTTTACAGTTTTTGACAGTTTTTGACAGTTTTGGAGATTGACGACACCGGGGAAAAAATCCAAAACTTCGGGTTTCGAGAAAAACACAGCTCCACTTTGACCAAAAGTCAACAATCAGGACACCTGAACAGGCCTCTCTCTCTTCCGCCAGTCCGCTCTTTCGTCTGTCTGCTCTTTCGTCTCTGAAGACAAAACACGACACCTGTATAAAGGCCTCTGCGATTGACACGACGCCTGAGCAGACCTCTAAGATCCGACACCAGAGCAGCTCCTCAAAACGCGACACATGAACAGGCCTCCGTTTGGCCCTTTCGGGATTATTATGAGACGGGGGCGGCTGTCCTTAGTTCAAGAGGTAATCCACAAGAAGGTAACGTAGTGGCGCACATCCGTTCTATAGGAAGAAGCCGTAGCGCTAGGAGCTGTATCGTGCGTTTTCTACTCGGTTGCGGTTTCGGTTTTAGAGTAGAGCTATGTTAGAGTAGATCGGTTTTCGGTAGTCAAGAAAAAGGTCCCAAAAGTTTCAGTTTACTGAAATTTTATCGGCAAAATAACAGCAAACAAATCGAAGATGAATCAGAAAATGTCGGAAATTTTCTGAACAGAATCAGCCATTAACACAGACTATAATTCTTTAAATCGAACAAGAAACCACTAATGTCCCTTGTGGGGCGCCAAAATGTGCGCGTCAATCTCCACACTTCGTGATAAAATCTGTTTTCAAACACTTGATTTATAACGAGTCTTTTATCGGGAAAATAACGATATTTTTAACAAGCTTTTTTATTGTTAACATCGGTAACATCGGCCACACAAAACTGCATAACTCAAAGCAAGCTGCAAAAATGGCCAGTATTTGCCCTTGAGACAAATTGCTCTTTTTAAAGGTCAGCCTTAATCAAGGCTGAACCAAATTGGAGCGAAAAGACGGTTAATTAGGTTTTTGGGGGGATCGAACCTGGTTACGGAGCATCCCAACAAATTCGGTGCATATTCGAGTTCTAGAAAGGAAATGACCTAGGCGGGATTCGAACCGGCCCCGAACCCGCCGGGAAGCACCATGTATACGCTCGGCTACTGTCCCTACTTGCATTTACATTTTGGTTTAACTTTATATGCATTTATACTCTTGTTTTATATTTGCGCTGCAACAATTTTCATTTACTCATCCAAAACAAAAGCTGATTGAAGTTTGGAAAATTGTTTTGCAAAACTGCTCCGCCACCATTCAAAAAACTTTTGTGCACAAAAAATTACAAGATACGAGAAAAACTAAAACTACTAATAGTTTAAGTCAACAAGAAATGAATTGCAATTAATCGATTGTTTTTAATTGTTGCCTTTGCAATCATTTCATTTTTTTCATATTTTGAGCGCTTGGCTTATACATTCACTGATCTAATTTATCCTAATGAAACAAAAAAGCTGAAATTTCAAACGCGTAATATCTATTTATCTTGACAAAAAAAACGAGGAAAAACAAAAATTGTTTAGACTTCGACCAGAATTACTATAGCGCCATTTATTTTTTTTTCAAAATCTGGGTCCAACCCCTTTCTCAAAAAAATCATTTTGGCTCTTCTAAACAACTAAAAAATATGATAAAAACACCTCTTCTATCATTGAAGAAACTGTATCAACCCTTTAAAATTGAAGAAGGGTATAATCTCCAAAAACGTTTGATAACTTATAAAAGTTTTTTCAAAGAGGTTCGAGCAAAGCTTTGTAAAATGTTCTTAAATAACAAATTGGTACATCATATACTAAAAAATACAGCTGACTTTGATGTAATTATTTCATCAATTGAACCGTTGGTTTTGGCCTTATTTTCAAATTATCAAACAATGCTAACTTGCTAAATATCCGGTTTGGGTATAATTGTTGGGGCCAAAATTCGCACAATTAATTGCACCATATAGAATCTGCAAGAATTCTAACCAAGTTTTTTCTCACTGTTTTCCTCTGAAGTCAACTGAACATCATAAAAACGCTCGTTTTGCTCAAGTTTTACTCGTCTTAAGTGTGTAGTTGATCATTCAATCAGTTGCATATTCCATGCGGAGAGAATTGTATTGTTGATTTTTACATTTTCTTTCTATGCCGAGAAAACGTAATTTAAGGGGTATGTAAGATTCTTAGCCTTTCGATGCGTAGTTTGGTTCAAAAATTTAAGCTCCTGGTTTTATTTATAAGGTTTTTGTTTTCAGAACCCAAAAAAACTCTCGGGCAATTTTGACTTGAATCAGGGGCGGATCTAGGATTTTCTCGAGGGAGGGCAGATTTTCAAAAAATTTTCGAAAATTTTGTCAACTTTTTTTAGGTAGACCGAAATGATTTTTCGAGCTCTCCCTGAGCACGTTTTAGACCCTGTTTTGGCCAAATTTTCAGCGCCGCAGACAAAATTTTGGAAAAAAGTCCACTTTTTGGAAAATTTTAACCAAAAAGTCGCGTTTTTTCGGCTCGCGCTCCCCCCTCAAAATTAGTATATTAGAAAAATTTTAGGGTCGGTCGGCCAAAAATGGATTTCTTAAAAAGTACCAAAGGGGGACCCTTTGGGTCGGCAGGGGGTCGAATTCCTGAGGGGGGGGGGCGTCCGCTTTATAACAGGTTGAAAGCAAAACAATATTGCTGCTTTTTTCACAAGCGGTAATTAAACGAAAAAATTGAAGTTACCATGGTTGAGTGGCAAAATCAAAAACTTTTGACTAACTTGGTGAAGATAATGTCTTGCGCAATTGAGAAATCGATGGACACATTTGAGTCCCCACCCTTCAGGGAAATAGTAGCGGGTGGCATCTTCTTCTCGCCTACCATCACACCCCCCTCATTCATGTCAACTGTGGACAGTTGGTGTCCACTGCGAGTCCACTTTATTCCATAACTGAAAACTAACTGTGATAAGTTCGCAAAGAATAGACGAAGGCTTCATCTTCAATAGAAACCACGGCAGCACTATTTTAAATTAGTTTTGATAATCACCATTGTGGTGCAGTCTGATTTAAGCTTTTGCGATGGAGGGGCGGGGGGGGACTTCATATGATCCTAGTTTTTTAAAAACATCTGCGCCAACGACAAAATTGATAAAGTTTGCCAAAATGCAGTTTTAGCTCTTATGGGAAGTTTTTGATAAAATGTCAAATATAGGTATTGACAAAGCTATTTTAGAAAAAACTCTCGTAGTTTTTGGTCAAAACTGCACTTCATACAAAAAAAATTGATGACGGTGAGATGGGGGATAGGGGGGGGGGGTGGGATGGGGTCATATTTGCTTTTCCTTTGTCCCTGTTGTGAATCATATCGTTATGTTCTTATTCATTTAATTAATCTTAAATTACTTTAACTGGTTAGTTTAGATTTGACCTTGTTATGTTCATTCTCTCCGTCGGAGAGAATGCTCTCTCACTTTTTAATGTTTTAACTTTGAGATTAATTCTTTTTTTAAACACATTTTATCTGTAACTAAGTAGAGTTAGCTGTAACAAAGAAACATTTTATCAGTCCCCTAATTCCAACTGACAACATCCACTGATTAGTTATGCCTCAACTCTAATGAAGCTTCTTATCTGAAGCACGGACAGATCTAGGATTTTCTGGAGGAGGCAAATTTTGTTTTAGGTCGCCCAAATTGATTTTCCGAGCTCTCAAAAATCACTAAAAAAATTCTATTTTGGTTATATTTTTTGCCACAGGCAAAAAACAAGCCAAAAAAGCGTTTTTAGGCACTTTTTGGACAGTTATAACCAAAAAATTGAGTTTTGAAAAATAGTATATATTGGCGCCAAATGCCGCTTTAGAAAAGTTTTTGGATCAGAGCCAAAAATAGAGCTATTAAAATAGTACCAAAGGGGGACCCTTTGGGTAATCAGGGGGTCGAATCCCTGAGGTAGTGCGGCGTCCAACACCCCCCCCCCCCCTTCCCCCCCCCCGTCTCTCTCTTTATCCGCTACTGATCTGAAGGTTTTGTAATTGCTAGCCCTCATATTTATAGCACTCCATTATGGTAAATGTTGTGAAAGAACTACAATTGGTTACATCATTTAGTATCATGATTTCACTTGGAAACAATTTATTGTTCTCAATAACTCAAACTCATCCTCGGAATACAAATTGAGTCCTCTGTTCTTCATTTAGATCATCATAATTAACTCACACGTAGTCGTTCTTGGAAGAAGGAACAGCTGTCGTCTAAAGCACAAAACACTTTCTGGAGTCACTAATAAATCTTTAATTAATATATCCATGATGAATTCCAGCCTCAGAATCACCCAATTTATATAAATTTTGCAAGTATTTTTTTTTGATCACACGTGAAATGAAAATATCGAAAGCTACATTGGAAATACTGCGAAAAATACGCAATAAAAAATGACTTATGCACCACCAGCGACTATTTCAACTAGTAATTAAAAAACTTTACAGAAATAGAAAAAAAAAATTTTGAGGTATTAATTTTCAATTTGGTCTTTTCATGCCATCCCATCATGAAAGCTTTAGTTTTGATGCTGTATTGATGCAATCACTCGCATCTGATTTAAAAAAAAATTGCGCCAAGAGCTTCATGTACACATGAAGCACCAAAAACATCCATATTAAAACATACGAATTAAAAACCAACAATGAACCAAAAAATTTATATACCAATTGGAGGGAGAATTACCCCCACACAAAAGTCACCAAATCCTATAAAGACTTGTCAATTTGCATTTATTTTAGGTATCAAAAATCACGAAAAATCGACTTGCTCTGAAACGATCTAATCATATCAATCTTGGCTGTCGAATTTCTTACCGTTGTTAGCACTTGTTTATCAATTGCAGCAATGGTTGCTTCAGTAGTCGTGCTGGAATTGCGTTTGAATTGTGATGGTCTTCGTCTACTCGGGTGGGGACTGCTGAGGGGGGTTGGAGGGGGGAGAGGGAAGGTGTTTCTGAGGGGGGTGCTGATTAGATTGCGTAGTCTGGACACAGTTGGACAGGTGACCACACACATTCGAGAACAATCGATCAATTTTTCAACCCAACAAGGTAAACCTGCTCACAACAAAAATATGCATTTTTACAAAACCAAACTCTAATTTATCTAACTTTAAGTTAAACTATACCAAAATGTTTTTTCGAATTTCAAAGAAAAAAAATGCTTTTAAGCTTTTTGAATTTCTATAAAAATTGATGATTGGAACATTTTTTTTATTAAATAAACCCAACTTGAGAAAACTGGATCGACAGGTAAAATTTTTGTTCCGCTGGAAATCTAGAAAATAAATTCCTTTTTAGAAACTAAAATTGTTCATTTTTTTCTTCGCCATTTCCACGTTCATATTTGGAGAGTGCTATTGACTTAAATTTCAGCAGATGAACTTCAATTGAACTCAAAAAGTGCACATATACCAAAGTAAATTCATAAATCGATTAACATGTATGAATGCACATCTGTAGTTATTATAGACTTTTAAGATCTTTTCCTTTAAAAAAAAATCATCAAGACCTATACAAAAGTCTTCACAACTTTCATTACTCCTAATAAATATGTAAATCTTTTTTATGTAAAAGAAAAACAAATTGGCAATTGAAGCAAAAGCTTTATCGATTAGCTTTTTCTGTTTGTTTATCAAAAAGTCAAGTTTTAACTTGAATTATTTTCATTACAAGTACTATTTGATTTGATACATTCTACATTCCCTGATTGGTTTCTATGATTCTATTTTTTTTGAACTGCTCTGTATTTTAGCTTGTTTCCACAGTTACAGGTACTTAATTAAAAACATAATCTGTAGCGAGCGTGTTTTTTAGATTTTGTATTTTTAGTCATTTCAAAGATTCTCATTAGGCTATGGTTGAGTGATGGATAAACTCCAGATTTGAAAGAAAATCTCAAGTTTGATAGTATTTTTCGCAAATTCTTTGATTCATCGATTAGTTTTTCTGTGAAACGGGTAAAATTGAGACATTGGTTGGTATATAAAAACTGGTGCAGAAATTAAAGTTGATACAAAACAACCAATTTGAAAAGCTTGATCGTTGTTTCTCATAATATCAGTTATCAAACGCATTATTGTTCCGACTTTCGATACAAAAGTAACGGAATATTTGTGCTCGGGGTGGGTTTTTTTTTCTTCAGACAAATTTCGACTTTTTAACTAGCCATTTTTGACGGAAATTTTTTTTATATCAATCAAAAGGTATTGTTATCCTGAGCTTGAATTTGAAAAGATATTTCACCTGTGATCATTTTCGTAAAGTTGTGAGGGTTCAAAGATTGCCGTTTTGGCCGTTTTGACCAATTTGGGACAATTAACGCGCGATATAATTCGCGGTAATAACGCGTAAGCGGAGATTTAATCCGTCTTATAAATCGTCCCAAATTAGTTCAACAAAGCTTATGTGCCATAATTGATTTGTTACAAGGAACGAAATTCATCCTTTTGTACTTTAAATGGCGTGTGGGGGGATGATTTTCGTATAAATTTTCAAATCGGAGTTTTGAAATCCGTCCCCTTACTGAGTTACCTCTAAATGAAATACTTGTATTGCGAGGAAATTGAGCTAGAATCAAGTTTCTGTTGAAAATTTTAAGTCCATATTTTTAGCCTGAATGTTATTTTTGAACTTTTACTAATTGTTTTTGGTCTTTCAAAAAGCCTTTCAGGAGATCAAATGCAATTTTAGAAAATCACAGGAGGCAATTTTTTCCGAAATAACTAAAAAATTATTTTCGATGAAGTTTTGAGCAAAATCTACAAAAAATTAGTAATTCTTTTTAATAGGCCCAATTATAATTTTTGCACAATTGTTTTCGATGAAAACATTTACTGTTCCAACAGCAGTTTTCTATTTATAATCTGAACAGGTAATGTTCATTAATTAGATTTTTAAGTTATTCCATGAAATTGCTCTGTGATTTTAAACCACCTTATGTTTTTAGTTTTAGATTTATGTTCGCTTCCCACAAGGAATAATGGAAACGGACTTAAAAAACATTAATATATTCCGGGGTCGAGTTGCTTACTGTATGTTTTGACCGCCTGGACCAAAATTCGGTATATCTCGACCGTCTCAACCAAATGTGGGTATGTTTCGTTCATTCTCGATCAAACAAAATGTGCTCGACCGTACTCGACCCAAGCAAGATAGTTTTCGACTGTGCTCGACCAAAAACAATGTGCTCGACCCTATCAAGATATGTGCAATGTACTCGTCGACCGTACTTAAACGTTATTACTTGTGTTTTTTGGGCAATATATCCGGATGATTTCTATCAGAATGAAATTAATGGGTTATTTGCAACTTAAATGCTTTGTAGAGATGGACCTTTTTGAGCTTATTTTCATCTAATGGATACTCTAGTTACCCAGCAAAATTAGCGTTTAATAGTGCCAAAGGCAAAGTTGATTACACCCCTCCCTCCCCCCCCCCCCCACTGTCGTCAACACGTATGGTTGTTGCAATAATTCAGACTAAAACTTCCTACAGCATAAAATAAATATTCTGTTTTCTTCGGAAGTCGGAATAAGAAAACTTAGAGAGAAAGTATATTTTGTAATCGAATCAATAAGCATGACACAATTGTCATGCCAGCAGGATAACTGGATCTTCTTAAATGCAGGGCTGTTTAATAGCATTGGATTAAGCCAGTGGCGTGTGCTATGTGGATTAATAAGGGTTGAACTAATCGCCAGTTTGAGATATTAATTGATAAGTTATGTCCTTGTTTAGGCTCAATAAAAATTAGTATCAAACACAGCTAATTAATCAAACTGGCATAATTGTTGTCAATATAAACATTTTGACGTCTTCATAAGTGTTTAATTGTAAATAAACATACTAGGAAAGAAACTTATTACTATTTTTGTTCTGTAAAATACCGGGAAACAATATTATTATGATTATTATACAGCGAATAAATTTATAATTTTTTTTCTTAAAAGTCGAATAATTCATTCAAAAATTCCTCACTGACTTCCTTTTGGTTTACTTGATAAAGTTTTGCCAAGCTCGGTTTTTATCAAGTTAAGCAGAAGAGGTCTTCTGAATGATCATCTGATCGAAAAGTATTCCAAAAACACAATTTCAAAAAATTACTTGTCTAGTTTGTCTGTTTGGCCGGTTTTCAGTTCGAGGGATATGTTGACGGGGTGCAATACCTTAGCTGTCAATTTGAAGTTAATTTTAAGTCATGAAAAGGGTGAAAAACTACTCAATAACAATCACTTTCTATATGCCAATAAGCTCTTATGCAAAAACTAACCTCAAACTTAATCTAAAAGAACTCACTACTGTTTGATGGAGATTGATTGCTCACTTTCTGGTCCAAAAAATCCAAGCGTTCATCTACACAAGACTGAAACAAACAAACAAACAAAATAATTAAAGTTTGGAGATTCAGAGACTGCAGAAATTCGGAACACCTAGTGTGAAAAAACGTTGGACTTTTTTTTAAAACAAAAGATATTTCCAAAATCACGTCGCACGATTTTCGAGTGAAATGCTAGATGCGAATACCTTTTTAATCGGGACACAGACTGATTTTAAACATTACGCAAAAAAATTTTGGTTTCAAGAAAAAAAACAATTTGAATACAATTTAATTTTGAGCAAAGTATATATTCTTTGACGAACGTGTCATTTTTTTTCAATAAAACCAAAGGTTTAATACGATTTCAAAGTTAACAGATTCAAAGTTTCTATATCATCATAAGAAATTGTGACAACTCAGCCTGTCTTCTATTAGAAGTAAGGTATAGCGTAAAGAAACAAGACTGCTCGTACAGAGCGAAGCCCTGAATGTTCCGACTGCCTCTTAGGGTCTAGAGAGTAGAACTCGTTTTAAAAAAAATTCGTTAAATGTCTCAAATTTGCCTTACTGATTGTCTTTAAACCCCCATATTTTTGTTAAAAACGATCACAGGTGTATTTGCTTGAGTTAACAACAATGTCTTTCGAATGATATAAAAAGACGACTAGTTAAAAAGTCAAAAGTGGACTGGAGATAAAACCACCCTCACCATTCAAAAGATCCCCTTTTTAAAATTTTCCCATACCATCCGTTTTTGGCTGACCAACCCTAAAATTATTCAAAGGAGCCTTTGTCGTTAAAATTTAGTCATTTTCAAGGGGAGCCTTCAAAGAAATTATGGAATCTTTTGTTTATAACGTTCCTAAAAATTGCCTAGGAACGGCATTTTTGCCTGCTGCGCGGAAAATTTTCAAACATTTGCCTACATTGGCGATATAGGGTTTGTATACTGTTCTGGGAGCGCTCGGAAAAAAAATTTGGTCCACCGAAAAAAGTGGACAACATTTTGGAAATGATGTTTTTGGAAAATCCTAGACCCGCCTCTGCTTCTATTTGTTTAACAGTTTTGGCCTCATAACTGTTTTAAATTTATATTTCAAATCTCTCTCAAATATTGAGGTACTCCTTTCCTTGGCAATATTCCAAAAACCAAAAAATTTGAGGAGAGAGTTCATACACTCCTTCTGTTCTCAATCTTTTTGTTCGAAGACATTTGTTTTTCCAACATTTTGTTTGTTTTTAATCGAAAACTTGTAAGCAAGCAAATTTGGATATGGTTGAGTCTGTAGAAAACTGGACATAGATTCATAAGGAGCAACCCGCGCCTTTAATGACAGTTTATGCCGTTGGAATTCATTAGCCAAAAACTCAGCCAACGCCTGTTATCGTTTTTCTCAGGCACTCAATAATTCACTAACAAATTAAATTTTTTGTTTATTTGTAAGCTGAAAAACTGCTCTGAAGCTTGAAAAGCGCTAATTTTTTTTATTTGTTGTCGAGATGCAAAAATCGAGATGCAAAAATATTAGTAGAAAACTGACCGTTTTTTTATCTTTTAAATTATTCTTAAACTCTTTCTTGCGCAGTTTTGTATTTGTCAGATTTCATTGTGGCAAACCTTTACTTTGAATTTTTCAACTTCTGAATAGAGTTTTTTCTGAAAATCAATATGCAAGCAGCCCACGTGCTGATTATGAATTAACTTGCATTAAATTGCTTTAGTTCTCAATTTTTCATCTTTTGTTCAAAGACATTTGTTTTTCCAACTTTTTGTTTGTTTTTTTTTTAGCGAAAACTTTTCAGCAAGCAAGTTTCAATATTGTTAAGTCTGTAGAAAACTGGACATGTAGTCACGTGGAATAACCCGTGCCTTAATGGCAGTTTGTGCCGTTGGATTTTTGTTGCCAAAATTTCAGCCAACCCTTTTTACCCTTTTTCTGAGGCACTCAATTAACTCACTACCAATTTATTTTTTTTGTATGCTGAGAAACTGCGCTGAAGCTTTAAAAAAGCAATATTTTTTCGATTTGTTGTCGAGATGCAAAAACAGCATATATTGATAGGAAACAGACCGTTTTTTTGTCTTTTAAGTTATTTTTTAAACTCTTTCTTGCTCAGTTTTGTATTTGTCAGAAAAATCATTCTTCCTTTTGGTACATCAGATTTCATTGTGGCAAAAATTTATTTTGAACTTTTCGACTTCTGAACAGAAAATTTTCTGAAAATCAAATGCAAGCCGCCAACGAGCTGATTATGATTTAACTTGCTTTAGCTTTT